GCCTCATTAATCGTGTTGTGTTTCAGATCGATCCTGAGGTACCAAGCTGTACGCAGTTTGACAATTCCAGGCGTACACTACCTTACTGAAAACGTGACCGCGAGCGCCATTATGATTTTTTTCGCTTTGTAAAATTTTGGAAATAAAGACGAAGTTCTAAGCTTTTTGAATTTCAAAACTGCGTCCTTCTATGTTTTTTCATTGGCCCACAACAAATGCCAAACTTTGCATACTTTTTGGTCATTTGAATAAGAACCTCCCCTTAAATGAGTAAAATGAAGCAAATTCTCTGCATCTAAGAAATGAATTGATGAATTTTAACAGAATTTTACTTTTGAACCAAATTGCTGATGATTGAAATCAATTTTTTTTTTCTTTTCTTCTTCTTCTTCATTCCTTTATTTAACGTCGGTCACGGTTCCGCAATCTAGTGCCAATCACCGACGGACATCGATAGCCATCCATATCCATTGACGGCAATCGAATGTGCAGGAAGGCAGCTTCCACACCTGCGTAGGATATCGCACCCATTCACAACACACATGGGCCGGGATTAAAATCAAAATTCCAGCCTATTAATACTTTTCAGCATTTTTATACTTTCAGCCTTTTGACAATTCAGCCTTTTAGGATTTCAGACAAGTTTTCCAACCCGAAATGATCGAATATTTTTTATTAAATTTGTCAATAAAAGTTAGCAAACACATAACGAGCAAAACCAACGGATGTTGGTTTCTTCTTCTTATCTGGTGGTTCCCGAATATAGCATGTTATTGTGCTTGCCACAAGATATACGAATGCAAAAAATGGTAACAAGAGGCTTCGAAAGCCCTCAATTATCAACTGTGGAAGTAGGTACAGTGCATTTCCGATATTGTTTTCTTTAAAAAAAAACCCCTACACTTGTTCAGTGATTCTATTAAATCCGAATTGAACGATGTCTGAGTTGTTACATTCGCTGTCAAGTCGCATGAGCGTCGACCTCTAAATCGGGTATGGGATGAATCAACGCAATTGAACAGTATATTTTTGCATTTAACCAAAATACGCCTGAAACGCAGAAGGATATCATATGAGGATATCATCGTCGACTTGACAGGGAGCACATACCGTGGTAGGGGTAACAATAGCTGCAATTTCCAAACCTACGACTGGATGCCTTCCTTCAAATAACAACTGAAGTGCCGTAAAAATCGGTAGAACTGTTTCAAACACATCGTTGGTACTTGAGCGGTCGGCGTTCATCTCTTTTTGCCAGTGGTGGCGGAGGGGGGGGGCTCACCATCCCTCTCCAAAGGGGGAGTTTGGTAAAGAGAGATGAACAACCGATTTGTACCTTCCTTAAAAGTTGTCCTAGCTCGCTATCTACTATCTATATGCAATTTTCACACTGCCATACTCTAACGGAACTATCAACTCTATACTTATCTCCTCCATCTATCGTATAAAAATTACCACTTTAGTCTGTTATTTGAAATTAGCATAGATTTTATTGTTATAGCAGGCGAACCCCTAACTTTATTTTTTTGCTACTAAATCCCAACTGAAACTCAACACCTACCCTTAACATTATTTGATAGCTTTTTTCATGCTATGTTAAGACTAAGCAGTTATAACATGTTATAATTAATTAATTAATTTAGCTTTATTTAGGAGGCTTTCAGCCTTAGGCTGGTTCGCCTCCACACATGTTATAAGACTATCTTGATGAATTATTTGGTTATAACAATTACTATAACGTGTTATAAGCCTTCAGTCTGAACATAGCATATGCAATTGACAACTGATCTATTATCCACAACTCGAAGTTAGCGGAATTGTGTATACGTATGTTTCACTTCAATAAAATCTTGGGGCCCCTGAAGGGCTTTAGAAAAATTCGGTAAAATGCGAAAATCTACAAAAATAAACTTACCTACGTAATTAAGGTAAACTGGACACTTAATTCCCAGTTGGTTTTTCGAAATTCTGAGCAGATTTTTTTTTCAGGTAAGTTTCCACAAAGTTTCGTCTAGACGGAAGGCGTCAGATTTTGGAACGAATACCTATATATTTGAGATCAGTTCGTATCTTATGTTTTCATTTTAGGATTTTCAACCAAAACGTACCCTCAAGTAGCTAGTTACCGTATTTTCTATTAGTAAGTTCTATTACCCTTTAGAAATAGTGCAAACGTACTACATATATACCGGACATGAAAAAAGGAGTACTGTTTTTTTGTTCGTGAGTGATATAAATATAGTATTTTACACTATTTTGCAAAAGCTCTAGAACTTACTTAAAAAAACACAGTGAATGGAGCAACCACGGTGACTAGCTCAAAGCTGTGAATAAATAGAATCGACTATAATCATTGCAGTGTAGGTGCTGTTTCTTTGATTTGTTTGATTACTTTGATATGAAGTTGAAAACTCAGTTAGGGGACACTTGATCCCCCAAAGGTTTACACACACTTAAACCTGATATAGGGGGAGGAGGGGCATAGTGAGCATCCCGCAGTTTGGCCCTGGATCTCTAGCTGCATGAAACAAATAAACTGGTAGTAGGTTCAATATCATTATGATATTGATCCTACCACCAATAAATTTGTTCCGAATGGCCGGAAGTCCAAGCTGGTGCACGGGATGCTCACTATGCCCCACCTATTCAATATGCCCCTCTTATCCCTATGAATGCGAAAATAAATTTAAAAAAAAACTCTGTGGAAGATCTGATTCCCCTGAATGTTACACATTGCGAGTAAATAGACTGGCCCACAAAAATAAAAGTTCTAATTTTCCAAGGATCAACAACTAGATTTGTTCTTTTAGGTGAAAAAACCATTCTCTGAAAGTTTTAGCTGATTTGGTTGCAACTCATCGCGCTTTTAGTTTGAATTTTGTAGAGGCTCGAAAAAATTTTAAAAGTATTATTTGAAAAATCCCTTTCAAAGTGCTTTTTAGACATCTTAAAAAACGATGTTTTGGAGCCATTTGAATACCTGTGCGAAAGCCTTATCAAGTTTCTATTTTTTCGCTGAGATATATCAAACATCAAAACAGGGGATCAAGTGTGTCCACTCTCCCCTACTAAATGATCCCTAACAGGTGCTACAAAAAAAAAATACATTTTGTATGGCAAAATTGAAATCATTTATATATATTTCAGTCGAATAAATTTCAGCTCAATTAATTATAACAGAACAATGTTTACAACACTCCAAAGTTCGCCAATCAGTATGGATGAATTGTGTTTCAAATTGAAAGCTTAATGGAAAAAATTGGAATGTATTTATTTTTTATAAAAAAATTTATAAACAAGTTAAGCGTGATTCGGTTATAAACACCCGTTTGATCTTAGATTGATTCACACAGGAAGGTTAAAAACTCAAATTGTCTATACTGCTCATAATCGACTATCAGTCTCATATGGATAGGAAATCAAGCAAAGATGGTACTGATATTCGATTATGGGTAGTATATGTTCCGTAAATTTGTCGACATTTACATTTTGGAATAGTGGTGCCAAATTATGTTTCTCGATTAAAAATATGATGAAAATATTAGGTTATGATCACAATATCGCACACTGCACGATGATTGGCTTCTATTTCCATATACTATAAAAAAATAAGTGCCTTTGTGCGGAGAACGGTACAAACTAGTACAATATATGAAAACATTTAAAAATACCTGTCCCAATCCAGTAGAGTTGAAATGTAGGAGGGTGAAACATTGTCGGTAACTTACAGCAATTTTTATTAGTAAAACAGCTGATGTGAAAATTTTTAAATGTTAATTATTTCAGATTTTTGGTTTCACATTCACATTGAAAGAAAAATGTGTCTTATGCTTTTGTGTTAATACAGTAATGGCCCGATTTTGTCAGCCCCCTTTTTGAAAATATTTTCTGATGTGCTACAAAATCCATGCACTTTTCCAGTGGTCTTATTGTACCAAAGTATATACCTAAAACATCCATTTTAAAGATGAATGAGAAAGATTTGGAATTACGGTTATCTGAAATTATTTAAATAAAAGTCTGATGCGCGGAGGTGTACACAAAATCGGGTAATTAATGTATACGCACGTAACACGCGTTCTGTTGTCCGATTGGTCCTGGGAACCCTAATCCTTGCCTAATTTAGATTGTATCGCTTTAAGATTTTCCTAATGAAAATAAACAGTTTGTATATCCATACACTTGGCGTAGTGTGCGTACAATAAGCTTTAGCAACCTTTTTGCTAAACGCACTTCTATGGTATTTTATTCACTTCTGCATTGAAGGTTTGCACTGATAGGGTAAGTGTACCAGCTATGGCCATACGTTCCTATTATGGTGTGTTCCAATTATGGCCTATGGAATTCCCATAGAACATAATTGGAACGTGCAGCCATAACTGGTACATCTACCGTAACTATTTATAAATGCAGTTCATAAATTGGAAGCAACGATTTTAAACTACACCATCATCTTCTTTATCATGGAAATGTGGCTTTATAGTATTTTTATTCCGACAACTAATTTCAGTTCTAGTATCAGCCGTATTTTCGTGATCATCCAATATAATAGCATCACTTTCACTAGTCTCCCCTATAACTGCACGGCCAACCGATAAATCCATGCTTTGGTGATAATGGTGATGGTGATGCAGCAGATGATGTTGTGAATTGTGATGATGCATCGATTGGAGCAGTTCGTGCTTGATTTTATTGTGCGTCTTCAGATTGTGCTTGTATTTGGTGGAGAAATCACAGTGTGAGCAATGATACTGAGGTTTAACACCACACTCTTTCTTTTCGTGGCGTTTCCATGTGTACTTGGTGCGATACAATTTGCCACACTGTCGGCACTTATAGATCTCCTGACCAAGGTTCTTGTACTTGTTCTCGAGATACTTCCACATCAGCCACGAGCGTGGAGGTAACGATGCACCAGCAGTTACGTTTTGTAGTAGTTCTAAAACAGGAAAAAGTGGTTATCATATCACCTTTGTATAGTAATACATCCGAAGCAAATTTCTTGATATTCTTGGTGGGGTATGCTGCGTAATTGCATTATTTTTCAGTCTGTGAACGCTCGTTCGGGAGTAATTGCCTTACCTGAAAAAGAAAAGCAATATGTTAGTAACATGTAAGTCAAAATTTACATTTCGTCACTTAACATTGTATACACATATGACAGAAAAAAAACACGAAAAAAGTTATGTGCCGCAGGTTCTATTTGGTAGCGAAATAAATAATTGACTCAAATGATGGTGAGCTCCAACCGGTATCTAATTTTAGTTCCGGGCTAGTATGACAACTCTTGCAAACGATTGCCCAAAATCAGATTGATTCAAATCGTTGCCTAAACTAACATGATCGAGAATTAATGCGAGGATAATACTGGTTGGAGCATGCCGCCAAAAAAACAAACAAAGAGGGCTTCACATAGTGCATAGTAAAAGCATATACCTTTGTAAGTGTACTTAACTTTATTAGTTTTCAATAGAGGCTGATAATTTTCGACTATTTTATTTTCCATATGGTGCCGTGTAACATAAAGTAATTTTGCATAACGTTAATTTGCCCAAAAAGTAATTTGGTCTAAGCTTTCATTTGATTATGAGTATTCAAATGACAATTATTTAGAATCAGAATATTAACTATTCATGATCCTATTTGAAAACACCGCTAATGATCGGAAGAAGAAGGGGACAAAGCAGTGCATTTTTTTCATTTACGACAAATGAGCGTTATGCCAAACGACTATTGTTCTAAACACGACCATATGCGCAAGGAGCTTCCTCCATTTCTACGGATGTGTATGTTCTTACGATGCGCTATATGAATACCACTAATGATTTTAATACATAAGTGATAAAAATCCATTCATTTATTTTACGATTTTCAGATAAATATATAGGTAGTTTATATATAGTGTTGAACATCATCTAGATTTAAAATGTTGCAAGTATGCTACTGTTCTTATTCTGCATGTTTGCCTGTATAGTAAATTTTTATATGTTTTTTCTCCATTCATGTTCATTCTGCAATGAAATTTAATATGTAATACAGCATTTTTAATTCCATGGCAACTACTTGTTTCTAATGTTTTACATTTTTTACATTACATGAAACATCTACAATTTTGCAAAATTTGGCATTTTTACATTATTTTTATACACTTTAAATCGTCTGAATTATTTATAGGTGTATGCTTCTTTTTTATAATGAAGCACACATAAGTTGACAGGGAAGCATTAAATTAAACGGATATTGTACTTTCTACGGTAAATGAAATTTGAGAACTTTTGTGATATTAGTGATTGCCTTCGGTATAACCGCACGTTGTGTAGAGTCATTTGCTCACATATCTTAAACCCACAAAGAAAAAAGAATTGGTGAACACTAACAACACAATCAATGTTTTGTAACACACACTCCATTTGATTATCATAAAAATAACGTTGACGCAATTTATAAAATTAATGCTCCTAAGAATTTTAAACAATAAAACTTATGTAGCCGTTAAATGTGGTTTTAACTTAATGATAACTTCAGAAAATGGAAAATCTATAAATAAAATGTAGCAAATACTCGTGAAACTAAATAATCTCTTAAAACAAATTGCAGATTTTAAATAATTTGATGCAAAGCTTAATCTCACTTATATATAATCTTAGTATTCTTCCTACAGACAATTGTTATACACTTAATAATCAATAAACATTAATCATAGTTTTACACTTTGTTCTTAATCACAAATCCGTATTTAAGGTGAGACGGGGCAAAGTGAATATTTGTTTTGCTAGGCTTAGGTCACCGAACTCAGGACAATTTTTGGCAAAATGAGAATAGCTGAGTGATAAGTAATCAGTTTAGAAAGGTTTGAATTGTTAAATACTCGTTATGTTCGGTGTCAGAAGGTATGTGTCCAGTTTTTTTTATTATTATTTAGGAATTTAAAAAATTGAACCCTGAACCATGAGACATGGTGTGCCGTTTGAAGCCAATTGATCACTAGTTAAAACTAAAATTATTGAAAATATGATCCTCAAATCACTGGTCTTGTTTTATAGCCGTGCATTTACTAATAAGGCTCTATGACCTCGTTATGCTCGTTAGATCTCCTACTGTGCATATATAGAATCAGGGATGTAAATGTATTTTAGCTTGGGCTTCATTTTTCACATATCAAGCATATAGTACGTATGTACTATTGATAGTAATCTTTATTTAAGAGCCAAACTGGTTCGTTTAAAGAATTTACAATATGTTATTATTGATAAGAAAATATGGAACGATTGAATGAACAATCAACAAATTGAATCAATAAAACATTTATGGTTGAAAAACTCGTAAAATATTTTTGAATCAATATGATTTTTGAATTTAAAATCTGTTTCTCTGATTGTTAGCAACTTAGTAAATTATTGTTGATATCTGGACGTTTTTCCTTAAGCGCTCCACTGTTTACCCCATCTTATACTAAATTACGGAACATTGAATTTGAACAGCGTTGCACGAGGCATTCAGACTGAAGCATAAAATTTGAAACACCAGTAATAGAATTATTACAAATTTTCCTTCCTTCAACGCCTGAAATTCAACACACATTTATAATATTAATGGGTAGGTACACTTTGTTACAAAGTCCACAAAGTCTATCACACTCGAAAACGTGACTTTAAACTTGTTTTTCAAAAAACTCTTTTTTTGAACATACAACATTATTACTTTTCCTCTAGATTTGTCCTGAATTGCCGATCTCCATTGCTTCGGGTTTAATTGATTCAAGCATACTCAACGAGTCACGATTTTTCGATTTTCTGCGGCTCTCAAGTTGTGGCATATCCGCGTGATGCTTCCGGATGTGAACACCCAAATTACCACGCTGTTTCGCCTTATATGTGCAATAAGGACATTGATGCATTGCTTCTTTGCCACCACATTCGACATTCTCATGTCTTCGTAGAGTAGACTTCCAACGGTATCGCTTTCCACAGTGGCGACAAACGTATTGACGCATCTCATTATCGTCGTTGTCACTTACTACTGACTCGTTCACAGTGTACTCAAAGTTCTTCATAATACTTGTATTGGCCAACAGTGCATACTTATCGTCCATTGCAGTATTCAGAAGTTTAACTTCCGATTTGGCAGGTTTCTTCGTCGGTAACTGTTTCACAAGGTCTTGTGAATCCATACCTACTTCTTCGCTATCTGTATGTGATTCCTTACCAGTGTAAGAATCAGCAAAGTTTACCTGAACGTCATCCGGTAGCTCAATATCATCAATAACCGAGTAGTCTAAATCGTCAATCATGCCAGTGGTGAAATCGTTACTCTGAGAGGTATTTGACGTCGACGTCTCGTATTCATTTACCGTGTATCGAGATGGCATGGTTTTCGAAATGGCCGAGATCGGAATTTGCTGAATGTTGCTTACGTCAATTGTTTTGGCTCCTTGGCCGGGGAATTTTCTCGAGAGAGAAAAATTAAGTAGTTCAATTTTTGTAGTTGTTCCACTTGCTTGTGACTCTTGATGCACGGGGTCGTTCATCGACTGGGTGTTAGTAGTAACAGTTGGAATTGTCAATATAGGTAAAGTAGCAATCGATTGGACCGAAGGGTTTTTATGTTTAGAATACTTAATTCGTGGATGAGTAGCTTTCACCAATTTTTTCGTTACGGTACTTTGACTTTGGTTATTTTGAAATGAACTAGCACTAATAAATGTGCCGCCGCTACCGATAGCACTGATACTGGAAGTTGTTGGAATCAAAGTGGTTCCTACAGGGATAACCGCCGTTCCCGCAGTTGTTACCATGTCGCTGGCACCTACTTTCACGATGGAAATAGTAGTCGGTTTTATGATCGTTTGCTGTGGTGAGATGCTCAAAGTCTCAACCGTTGTTGGAGAAGAGACTGAATGGCTTACCAGTTCTTTTGATGTACTTTTCAGTGGTAAAATATCTGCAAGAACACGAATACTTGGTTAGGATGATTCAAAAGCTGGATATAGGATTGATTTTAGAGGTTAATATGAATGGCAAGCGCAAACACAATCAAACGCTAATTAGATAGGCGTATTCAAAATAAAACATACAATAAAAACTGGAAGGAAAGTGTTGTGTTGATTGAACCTTTGTTAAAAGTTCTGTTTTTACTTTAGTTTATTTCGTGATACATTATTTAATGAATGCTTGTATATGTATAAATAAAGACGAACCAAAAGAAGATTACTTTATTTGTGTAATACAATCCGCAACCAATTTAAACCTATATAGTAAATGATATGGGAAATAAGGACCTAACGAACAATGTTTTGAAGTAAGAACTTAGAATATAGAATAAGTGAAGGGATCCGTGAACACAACATATGTTGACAACTGCATAATTTTCAACGCATACTGTATCACGGATCTGAACGATTGGAAGGTATGTGCACATGATGTAAATATGAGTGATGAGCGTAAAGAACCCACATTTTCCGAACAAAAGAAGACCCAAGAGATTAAAATGGTATTCACAAACGATGCGATTACCGCCGATTTTTTTTTTTTGCTCTGGGATGTGGATTACACCACGGTAATCACGCGCTTTGAAATCGTCGCGATTATCGCATTGTTTGTACGGCCACTTAAAGAGAACTTTTAAATTACCGCACTCATCGAAGATGTAGGTAGTTGTGGTGGTGCCATCGCCTTGCAGTTCAGTCCTCTTAATGATCTTATCCTTTTTCAAAAGCTCTTCAATACGTCCCGTATCAATGACGGCTGCTGTCTGTACCGGATTTAAAGTTTCTATTGTTTGCACACTAGTCTGCAACGAACTTGGTTGAAACGCTGGAGATTGCTGCTGAGATATAGGTGCGGTAGTGAATAGTATGTATTTGTTGTCTTTTTTAGAGACTACAATATTCTTGCTCTCAAGCAAGCAATCGTTCAGATCATTCAAGACTACCGGTGTCGATTGTGTAATCTGTGCTAACTGAGTGGCAGTCGTTGAAATCGTTCCAACAACTGACTGAGAAGGTGCAGCAGTAAAAGTGATTGTTTTGATTTTCTTCGCTGTTGCAACCGTCGATGGTTTCACAAGACGTTTATCTGCAAATAAATAATTATATCAGTAAAGTGAAGTAGCTTATATTGAACATAGCTAAAATAAACCCCAACTATTAACCATTTACTCCGTGCTCTAATGGTCTAATGTTACTTTTCATTAAAAGGTGATAAAAGAGTATTTACACGAGCAGTGTTAAGGTAAGGAAAAACTTTTCTTATTGTTAGACAATTATCTATCGCCTTTTTTATTCATGATGTGGTTGTTTGTGAACAGATCTTCTACACAATATGCATAACATGGTTCAAATCATCAAAAACCTTAATCTTTTTGTATTTTTGATGTTCGTGACTGCAAGATCAATTTTTTTTATTTACATGAGAACAAAATACAGAGCTTTCTCTAGTTATTCAGCCCCCTTTTAAAAGGTCTTCTATAGTCTTCTTTAAAACCCTATCTTAATAATTTAAGAATAAAATGTACTGCACTAAATAACCAAGAGGCCTTCAACATTGTTTGAAAAATTGTAGGTATCTTGTAATGGGACAAGCGGCTTAATTTATTTAACGATAACACTAAAAAATCATATTTATAACTATCAATTGAAAAGTGCCACTGTCAAAAAGAGGTAAGTCATTTGACGCTTCGGAAAAGGAATTTTTATGCATTGACATCGATATTTTTAACAGATTTCCCTTCCAATTATTTTCTAGATTTTTTTCCGAACATGTAGGGGAAATAGACGTAATTTCGACCTAAATGCCCCTAATTTGGGCCCATACATAAACTAAGCAATCGACTAAATTTTCAATAGCGACCAAAAATATTCATTAGCACCGTCCCAATGACGCGTTCATCTAGACAAAATTGATAAATAGCAGATTTTTAGCGATGGGCCCAATCTTAGATCCATAGGTCAACATTAGAGCCATTTCCCCTACCTGTCAGCTTTTCCAGTTCAATCAAATATAGCTATAGGGGAAATGGCTCTAATGTTGGCCTACGTATCTAAGATTGGGCCCATCGCTAAAATTTTGCTATTATTTATCCATTTTATCTAGATGAACACGTGATTGGGACGGTACTAATGGCTATTTTTGGTGGCTATTGAAAAGTTAGTCGATTGCTGAATTTATGTATCGGTACAAATTAGGGGCATTTAGGCTGACATTACATCCATTTCCCCTATATCAACAGTTTCCAATTTTTTAAACTACAATTGAGAGACTATGTTTTAGGTGCGCTGAACTACGGCACTTAACGGTACCTATCACATATGTTCGTGCCGAGCCAGTATATGTCTCTGCAACTGATTGTTTCTTTTACAACGAAGTGGACAATGTGGGCAAGAAAATTTTGGTTCCTGATTACACTCTAAACGTGCGTGGCGCCTCATATTCTTAGCCAATGAATATTCTTTCCCACATTTCGGACACTCAAAACGTGTTTCTGATGTTGTTCTGGGACGCATGTGAGGAGGGATTTTTCTTTTCTTTATCATAGGCTCAAAGGGTTTTAACAGATGTTCGTCATTTTCTACGGGTGATACTGCTGGTGTCTCTTCAGACACAAGATACTCGAAAGAACATCCATCGGTCATAGGTTTTACTTCAAACAACACCGTAGCTGTGGTTGCGATTCCAGTCGTTGACCCGATTTCCTCCAGATACTCAAAGTCTTCCTGTTCGATTTCTGAAAGAAAAATATACACGTAAGAAAACGCAAAAATACTTACGAAACGTGTCATTATGATGTACTATAAATTACTAGACTAACCATAGCTAAATGAAGAGGAAACCTAATAGTTTCAAGGTACGAAGTCATACATGTAAAACTGATTTATTTCTGGCATCTTAGTACATACATGAACAGAGTTAGTTATGTTAAACTATAATTCAAATCGGATGCTCTTCATCGAAATGTTTCAGTAGTGTTTCACGAATCGCACAACCAAATCCACACAAATGACATTTGAAATTAAGATTTGTAAACACTTTTTTATCTATTTTGCCAAATCGTTGATACGATATAATTTCCTTTATCGACGATATCTGTGAGTCCAATTCGTGTACCACGTTGAAGGAATTATTATCTTCCATACCAAGATGATGGTCTTCGATCATAAGACTATTACTACCCATAAAATCAGTTGCTGCTATTGTTACATTTTTCGAAGGTTCGCCATATAATGGGTCAAGATGTATGAAGCCACCGTCATCACTTTCCGTGGACATTTCTTCTTCAATGATTATATCACAGGATCGGTCGGAGTTGTTTGTGCTGGTAGTGACCACCCTGAGAACATTCATGTTACTGCTACTGCAACCTTTAATAGAATAAAAACATAATAAAAGGCACAGAGAGTATGTTTAGAAAGTTGAACCATATAGTTTCATGCAATTCAAGAAACAGAAAAAAAAGAAAGAAACAAAAATGAGTAAGAGGTCACCACTGTTAGTTGAAATCTCTCAAATTGATATATTTATTAAACTAATTTGGTTTCAGTTATAGCTTATGGTATCAAGTTGAAAAACCTAGATAATAATTAGTTTGCATCTTATTTTCCAAATTATCGTACACAATAAATAACAACCAACAAAAACAACAAACTACAACATTGTTCACTTATAAATTGATATGTAATATAAAACATATTACTTCCTCAAGGATGTATCTATTTACAGTTCCATCATTAACCAAGTGAAAAGTGGGATTTGTTTACATAATATTTTGGTAATGATTTTCATCGAATTTGTTTTTCACTTCTAATTAAAACTGATTGGGGATTTTTGAAAATCTGGCTTTAATATACTACCCAACACATTCTTGTCTGAACGTTCAGTTTCAATTTGATTTGAGATTAAACCTGACTCTGCCTATGGGTTGGAATTTGGTTCAGAAACAAATTCGATGTTTATTTCAGCGATTGCTGTTCCTTTACACTCGTTTTTCATTCCACTTGTAGCATTTTGTTAAAAGTAATATTTTATACAAACTCCCGACTCGAGATGCCGCTTAAGGTGTGATCCCTGAGAGAACGATTTTCCGCACATAACGCATCGAAATTTCTTCATGCCGCCACATTCGTACCTATCGAATAAGAGAATGGAAGAAGCAGAATCCAACGTAATTTGCATTTAGAACACAATATTATAATTAGTGTAAATATTCGCACCGAGAAAACAATATTTACCTTATGTGTCGCTGAAGAGAGCTCGCATCCTTATAGTTTTTATTGCAATTCCGCCTCGGACACTGATATCGACCATCGGCATTAAGAAACTTGGACAGATCGGAAAATTTTATGTTATATAACAGATCGTTAAACTGTAGCAGACGCCTTCCATCCCGGCAGCGGGCGTTTGCACTTGTTAGATCTGGAAAATTGTAGTATACGGTTTGAAGTTGGTCTTTAAATTGCTCTATGGTTTCTTCTATTATTATTTCTGGAAAAGTGGATTTGGCAACACTGGGTATCAATAGCAATAAACGAAAAATGTAAAACAACAGGAACAGATGCGTCAAAACAGCTAAATTTAGTACTGCTTCTGCGAAGAAGAATTACATTGAAAGAAAGGGAGCATGTGAGCATAATGAACGTGTAAACGAAAGGCAATATTATTAGATAAGGCATTGGTTGGTTTCTTCATGTAGCTTGAATGAAAAAATAAATCGAGTTTATTTTGAGTTGTCATTCATAAATGAAGATTTTATTGAAATTTTAAAATTACATCCTACTAGGAAAATACATAAAGTCGTTGAATCACAAATTCGCGATATTAGTTAAAAAAAATAAATTGTTGTAGAATGCTAAGAGTAAAAATGGCATTTTCATTTGGTTTAAAATTTCTCTTATAACTAATCCCTAAATCGAATGAGATACTGATATGACTTACAGAAATAATCGAGAAAATTAGAAGATAAAATATCAATCACGAAAATGGAGAGCAAAGTAGGTAAAATTTTAAAGGTGCTTAGTTACTAGTTGCAAAAAAGATGTATAAAAATTATGACGAAAAGAAAGATTACAAATGCTCATTCACATGGATTTTTTTTTCGGAGTTATGAAATCATTATATGTAATAAGAGCATGTTTTACAAGAAGAGGTTCTGATTGACATATAAAACAGAGTAACAATTATCGATGATATCATTTTTTACTCATTCGCTCAAAAATGATAGCAATTAATGACTCTCAATGAAATTGACAAGTGTTATATGACAAACACCTACATTGCAACAGGTCTTGTAAACTACAAGTAAAAAATTCGATCTTATGTTTTAATAATTCTTGGAAACGTTATGTAATGAATAATGAGCATAAGCAACCCTGACGAAAAGCAACGTCTACTGAAGCTGAGTCGGCCCATTTTTCAATGCATAGTCAAAGAAAAGTGTCTTAAAGTTTTGCAACAATGAAGACTGCGAGGTAACTTGATCGATCACTTCCTGCTTCATCATTAGTGCATCTACTGAGAACTTGTTGTCGCCTTCGTTGCCATTTGGTTTAAAATAGCCATTCTCATTTTTGACTGAACTCAAGCCGCTGCTAATTACTTTGTCCATCTGGATTCCATGCTTCGAGGCCATGTGCCTCACCAGATGGTATTTGCGACGAAATTTTGAATCACAGTGATCGCAGTTAAAACGTGGTGGTATGCCGATGCACTCATCTCGCATGTGTCGTTGTAGGTGACGCTTTCTTAGGTAACTTTTGTCACAAACGGTGCACTGGAAGCGTTGCCCGGAGTTTACATAGTTCGTGTAAAATACCGTTGGCTTGCGGTCTGGAAACAATTGAAGGTGAAGAAACGAAAATGTTGAGGGAAATCATAACCGAACATAAAAATGTGGTGAAACAAACTCAAACCTACTGAAGATATAAACAAAACATTAAACTAAACAAACTAATAAAAAAAAACAAAAAACTACAATTTTATCTAACTTCTGTACTTTCATCTAATTAACTTTCTTGAAAAAAAAAATACTTTGTCGTGCACTAAACATTTTAATACCAATACATGTCTTTCCCAATCCTGTCAGC